TTGCAGTATACGACTCTGTTTTTATGGATTGAATTTTAAAATAAAAACTTTTCCTATCTTACCTTTTAGCCATAAAAAAATATGTATCACCAAAACATCAAGTCTATAGATCCTGCAACGGTGTGGCCTGGCCGTTGAAAATTAATCCAGTTGTTAATTTTTTCACACGATGTTTCCTGTTTTTTTTTTTTCACAATCAGAAATTAATGTCAACTATGTTTGCATTAAAATTATATTACGATTTGAAACATTCAAAAATAATATATTATTGATTAAAATCGTCATGAAAGGTTTATATTTTATAACGTGATCATTTTTTGAATGCAATTATTATTTATTTCAAAATAACGGTTCAGTATATATACTGTACGGAACTTGTACTACAGTATTACAGTAAATATATATTTAATTGAATGCAACTTTAGACCTCTGTATGTAGATATACAAAAGAGTTGTAAAAGTAAACTAAATGGCGAACAAATATTGTATTTTGTAAAAAGTGCGTGCATACCTATACGTTTAAATATAACGCGTACCTAACAGTAACCCTAACATGTTATATTATTCTGTATGACCGTACAATGAACGTTTGACAATATAACGTCTTTGATATAAAAGTAATTTAATTATTAAATAGGTTTTTGAAAAATTGCTGAGCTATACTGCGGTCAGTATAGCTAAGTTAGGCGGTTTTTTCCTTCAATTGTCTGTATTATTTAGTTACAATAATGCCATATACAATATCAATTTAACAGTCTTACAATGTTTTGTTTTATCTAGCTATATGTATATTTTTTTCTATTTTATTGAATCTGGATAAACGGAAAATAAGTTGTCTGACATGAACAATTAAGTACACTAAGTAAATTTATCTAGACAACTCTTTGTAAATCGTACAAATATTAGAAACAATAATTCAAATATTTATTTAATTCGTATGGTGTTTATAAATATTATCGGCCGATTAAGTTATGTAAACTTTTCGGAAATCTATATTAAATGTGTATTAATAAGTCTGGTACGCTTATAACACTACCTTTAGTAATAAGTAACATAAATTGTCTTTTTTTTTTTTATCTGGATATAAATTTAACTATTGTCTATATTTTCGTATCTATAATTATTAAATTTCAGTTGTATACAGTTATCTTTTAAATCTCATTCGAATAATTATCCTGCGTGCGGATTTATAATATTTATTTCGGCGATTTTCGCGAGAACAAATTCCTTATAGTATTGTATGAACGCAATATTCGTTATTAATTGACGTGCACAGTGCATATCGTTAATTTCGGTTTCGTAACAATTTTGTGACATAATATTATTAGTTTTATACTATTATCGCCAGTGAAATAATAATTACATGTTTGTTAGTTTTCTCGTCAAACACGCGTATACCTACGTCGATTTTCTAATCAAACAAACATGGTTATTCGGGTTTTGTTAATACATCGTAAAATTATATTAATAAAATATTATTACCGAGAAACTCTACATTATCAAATAATTAATCCGTTAAACAACATTTCCGGCCGGGTATATCCGGCGGCGGCGGAATGCTAGTAATGCGGATAACAATCGTTTAGTGAAAATGTCGGTGGTATTCCGAGCGTTATCACAAAACTTTACGATAGTAAACAATTAGCTTTTGAGAGACGTGGTTAAAAACGCGGGAAAAATTTCGAAGGAAAAATAATAATCATTGAAAATCGAGAGGCATTCCTGAGAGCGAATTAATCCTAACTAAACTTCCTGGATACTCATCTCAAAGACAAGGCTACAAAAATGTTCAGTAAAAATAATTTTAAATTGAGTCTGATTACATCATGTATAATCTAATAGGTATAAAAAATTTTTTTTTTTTATAAAATTGATTCGAGTTTTTAAAATTTCTTTAAAACTGTTTTAGTGACAATTACTAAAACATCCCCCTGGATATCGAAGGGTTAAACTGAAAAGCACTGAAAATTTGACCGTTTATAATAAGGTGGATCCGCCTCTTCTGAACCTCCATATTAACCACTACATAGTGGTACATATATATGTATAATTTATAAACATGCATTTTTTTATTACTTTACTAGCTGTCCCGCGCATTGTTGCCCGTGCCAGTTTATTATTATTTTTTTTTCCCATATAACTTTTTGGTATTGACCGTGTTGGTATTGAATAAAAACAAATAGGTAAATAGTGGTAGTCCACCTTCAACGGATTAAAAGTGTTCTGCTGTAAAATTTTTTCATGATTATCATACCAAAAAAATCTAAATAACACCGAATTTTGGAGGGAGGAGATTTCAGAGGAAATGTAGTCTAACTTAACCTATCGGAGAGCAGAGACGTTTGGCAGTGAGAGATCGTGTGTACCTAACCTAACCTAACCTAACCTAACCAGCAACATTTGATGTTTGACCTTGTCGATGGTCATTGAAAAATATAGTTTCACGGAAAATTGGAACTATTTAAACTGGAATGGTAGATTGGTTTATATCATTGGTAGGACCATTTCCCCAGTTCCCCAGCCAGTAAGAACCATACACTCAAGCAGACAGTTTTTTAAAGATTTTGTTTGCAATCCTGTGCGTTATTGATTACCATAGATACGTTTTGACCAATCTTTTAAATTTCAGTATATAAAGACAACGTTTATAATATTAGTGCAATGGTATCAAGTTCAAATCTTAGATATCATTACAATTTTTAATAAATATATTACTGAAAAACAATTATACTTATCAAAAAACATACCCGATTAACCAATAGTAACCTGCAATTTATTATTATTATTATTTTAATCTGCACTCAATAGCAATCATACAATAAACAAAAATATATTATCATTTAGCACTACTTTTATTTCATCACCACCACACATTTCTCTCAAACCGCAACCCCTGCGACCTATGTTGGTACGTCTAATTGGTGGCATTTTGAAGAATCAAATTGCGGCGAACTTAATGCGATAAACAAACATTTCTAAAAAATCTCACTCAACAAACTCGAAATTGGATAAATGTTCAAATAGAATAGACTGTGCACTAAGAAATGAATAAATTAATTTTTCCATAGATACCCCCACACCAGTACACGGATTTCGTTTTTTTTCTCATCCGTGTTACCACGGAAACTCATAATTCAACATAAATAATTAAATTCCTAGACTAAAATTACCCATAACCTGAATTTTAGGGGATGTTATTCAATAGGGGGTGAATTCCAGTAGCTATTAACCTTCTTCGGACAATGCGGAACATTTTGCAAAAAACTGCGTTAAAATCCGTCAAGCCGTTCTCACGTGATGCGATGACCAATGAAAATAGGGATTAATTTTTATATACATAATAATATTATATAGATTGGTTGTATACAACGGTCGTAAACAAATAATATGTACTTACCAAACAGTCGAAAATCTTAGGACTACTATAACTGTAGTAGTCGGTGAGTAATCTTTTTCGTACATACGTATACGTAATATTATTTATTAGAATTTATATTTATAAATAAAAATCAATATGACAATAAAAATATAATGAAATTCGAACGTAAATTAGATAACCCACACAGGGTGTTTCACGGAGATCTGACAATGACAATATTTGTGTTATTCTTAAAAAATCCAAGATATATGTATAATTTGAAACGACATTTTGGTAATCCGTAATATTTTACTAAAATTATGAGTCGTTAACTTTCTAGACATTTTTGAAGTTTACTATACAATTTAAATCGTTTTCACGGTCGCTGTTAAATAATATCAATCGATTCACTAATATGTCTATTGAATATAATTTTGCAAACGTTAAAAAATTATAGAAACTATAAACGATTCATTATTAGTAAATATTTTTTTCAGACTAACATTTTGTTTAAAAATATATTTATAAAATAGATATACGTATCTTGGATGTTTTTGAAACTATTTTTTCTAAAAAATTGAATTTGTTTATTTTTAGGTAAATAAAAAACATAAAATACAGCAAACAAAACGCAAGGCTCACGTAATTATTAAAAGGAAAAAAAAATAATAATATCGAACAGAACAAAAGTTATTGTATCTGTCAGATCTCCGCGAAACACCCTGTAGGTGTATGTTATACTTAATACAATTTACCGTTGTTCGGCGATGACAGAAAAGTCGATTTTGTTGATTTCGGCAACCGCCCCATAATAATATTGCTACTTACGAGTACACAAACTAAATCTTATTTTCGGTTGACAGCTTCGGCTCCTTAAACCGTACGGTTTTAATGATCACTTTTAATTTCGATACCGATCGATACAATTGTTTTTGCACCCCCCCCCCTCACCACTATTGAAGGAAACTAATTAAATCACGATTTTAATATCGTTATATCGTTTCAAGTTAGACCAGTTCGTTTCTCGAATTATTTGATGTGAGGGTTTTTTTTTTTTTTTTTTTACTAATTATTCGTTAACTATGATTGAATATAAATTTAATTTAGGATTTTTTATCTAACCTATGTCAGCAATTTTCTCTCACGATGGGAAAAAAAAATTCGAAAATCCCACCGAGATATACTTTTTCTCAAGTAGATGCGTACAATAATAGTTCCGGGCAACTATTACCAAAACCGTACGCAATCGGCATTTTAAAGTTGTTTCGAAATTTGGTTTTAGGCTATACCGGTCCGCGGCACTATTCGAAGAACACGAGGTTTTGAACAGTAAATATTTTCGATTTTTCAATGGTGAGTTTCGAAAGGGAAATATTCCGAAAATATCGGAAAATCCCGAATGTCACAACACGTTTGCATATAAGAAAATAATAATACTCGTCCGCGGTAAAACGTATGTTGTAAACGTGGTTATGGCGTATAATTTATTATGACTTTAATATGTAAAAAGGTTCATTCGGAGTTTTCTTTTTTTAACCAAAATGATGTTCTTTTGAACTTCAATTTTAAACTCGACGACTCGTCATTGACATAATATTTTGTTTGCCGGCGACTTTCGAACTGAAGACTTTTTTCCCTCTCGTCAACTTAAAGCCCGACCGAGTCGATTGTTACCATGAAAACACGCCGCAACTCCCCCCGCGTTTGCCAAATCATTACCCGACCCCAAGCACCGGGCTACCGCACTGACCTGAGCGTATCTGTCGACGACGCCCTCGCCGAGATTGAGGTGCGTGCCGGCCGTACAGTTGTTACCCAACTGTTGTTGCGACTCGACGGTCCGCAGCAACCGGTTGACGATGTCGTTGTCCAGAACGCCGGTGTCGGTGGGTGCCGTGGTGGCGGCAGCCGGCTGCTTGACCGGCACCTGAACGTTCGGCCGCAGATTCCTCGCGTTTCTCGACCGGCCGTGCCGTATGCCCACGCCGCCGGGCGACCGCTGCGCGGCAGCACCGCCACCGGCACCGACGCTGTCGCCATCACACAAGAACAGCAGCAACAACAGCGCCGTGCACCGGCGGACCGCGGCCGACATGACGACCGAACCGTCGGTTACCGCGGACGCGGTAAGCGGTTACTACGACGGCGATCGGCTCTCATGTGAGTGGCCGGACCCCGGCGGCCGTATTCGTATTATCCCTCGAGACGGGCGGCCGCGCCGAGACGTATCTAGAAACAAATATTATTACGGTCCACGTGAATCATTAATATATAATAATGTAATATATTGTGTATGGTTTATAATATGCGTGTATAGTGTACACCAGTGGTGTGGTTTTCAACCTGGGCGTCGCGATCCACAAAGGGGTGGCGAATGATAGTTAGGGGGTCGCCAAAAACCATAACGGTCTATAAGTGTCGTGAATACTGTACATCGAATTCTATTAAACGATTTTTTCGTTATTGGGGGTCGTCATAAACGAAAAAAAAAAACAATATTAGTTGGTTGCGATTCGTAAAAGGTTGAAAACCATTGGTGTGTATTATACACGAAGGACTCAAATTTTACGCAGCTGCGTCAATATTTTAAGAGGTGGTGGGTAATCGGTTCATGACGCCAGGTGGGCTTGGATAGTTGGAATGTTATTTTGGTACCCATTGATGCCTATTAATAATATGAGTATCTAATATTAAGGTTATTATCAGTTATTACAATAGCACCAAACAAGTATTATTTTACCATACAACTATTAACATGTGGAAAACAGACTAAATAGTTGCTTTTAAATTTTTTTCATTCGTGTTACCAAAAGTAATTTGATGTGTTTTAAAATTTGAAAACTGGTAATTACCGCAGTAATGTAAGAAATTTAATCTTTCTAGACAAATGGTAGCCAACGGTTTTCATTAGGATATCATCTATCTCCTTGCCAAATTTGATCAAAAACTGTTTCGCGGTTTTAACGTGAAAAGGTCTAAAAGACAGACAAGCAAATTTTCGCATTTACCTGTATAATATAAGTATACATTTAATTTTTATTTGAGCAATTTGGAAACTGTGTGTGGGGTGGGATGGTAGAGACAAGATGATGGCGTGTGCGGTGGTAATACTGAAATGTTGAAATTACGTCATTATAATAATTAGAAGTCTGCCACTGGTATGGATAATGTTTCTAAATTACTGTAATAATCTTTTGTGAAAATATTTTCAAAAATGGATAATATTCGGCAGTTTTCATTATTTTCTTACAAAATTTATAGTTAGAGGCTCAAAAAAAAAAAAAAGGAAAAAATGTAAGCGCTCACAATGTATTATTCTAGCCTTCAAAATAGTACACATATATTAATTATGTATACATTGAGCCATAAAATTATAAGTTATAATAGTACCAATTTTGAAATTTTCAATTCCAATAAATATTGAATATCTTCCACAAATATTTTTGATTTTGATATTGTTTTCGATTTTTGTTGATATTACCGACTTTTAAAATCGAATTTAGTAATTTTGTAGGTTTATTAGCATTTGTTTTTTTTTTCTTTTGAAACCTTTGTACTATTTCGTATAATCTGTAGCCTGTAGCTATACACTTTATACTTTCTAAATTTGGAAATATTATTAAGTTTAATAGAAAATAAATTTTTTTCCTGATAGAGGGCTCTTAAAGTCCCAATTTTTTTTATGTAAATTTGTTTGAAATTTTCGAAATGAAGTATGTGAGTACTTAATAAAACAAAAGTAATTATCTATAGCATTATTATTTTGAAACATCTAAATATATTTCGATGTTACAGCTGATATATAATACTTATCATCATAGTAAAATGTAGGTATGTATAAATAATAAAATAAGTAAATAATTGTGTTATGTTTATGTCCCACCCCCAAATCAAATTCTAGACTAGCCACTGATTGCAATACTAATTATAATGATTGGTAGTAGGTATAGATACTATTCATATGTCTTAGCATATCTTAATATATTACAGTTATTATAACATAATAACATCGTGACTAATGTAATATAATATACTTATAGTTATTTATGTCAAAACAAAGTACACATATGTAATTTTTTATTCACAAAATTTTTTGGTAATTTTAAATAGGTAAGGTTAAATTTATTATGTAAAAAATTAATAAAAAGTAAATCATTCACCTACTTAAATAACTATATAATTCTTTATACAGTCGTAGCGGTCCCATGGTGTAATGGTTAGCACTTTGGACTCTGAATCCAGCGATCCGAGTTCAAATCTCGGTGGGACCTTTTTTGGTTTTCATTATTTTTTGTATTTTTTTTTTTTGTTTTATGAAAGTTTTTATAAACACAATTAGGACTAATCAACTTCCATTCAATTTCGATTGATATTTCAGTTTTTTTTTTTAGTTTTTCAGCGTACAATGTACGATTCTTTTTTTCTGTCTCAATAACTTTTTACAAAAATCTTTTTCGAGTTCTATTAAACTTTGTCTAGTTAGCAAACTGAGAATCTAATTTTATGTTTTTTTGTGTAGTTTTCTTAGGTAAAAACCGAAAAAAAAAATCAGAAAATTAGGAATATATTTTATGTAACAATTTCTGTTATTTTAGATTCTGAACGAAGCGAGGAATGTATTGATTTTACAATGATGTTTATTTTTATTTTTTTTTTTTATTGTGTACACAAATTCTACCAGAAATCTTTATCCGAATTATCAAGTGTAGTATCTTGTCTGAAAGGAAATTTTCTTGGAGTGGTATATTAAGGAGGTCATTTTTTAATTTTCCAAAGGGTTCATTCATAATAAATGAGGAAAACCCGGGAAAAACATAGGAACAACGAGAAAATGTACGAAATGTAATATTTTAATCGTAAATATTACTGCTTTTCAAAATATGTAAAACCGAACTCCGCTCAGAATCGTTTTTGGTTAGTGATGATTAAATGTTGCGTACAAATATACTTTAAATTCCCCGCTATATCCTACTTTCCTTATTTATCACCTATAAGTAGGTGGCCAACATATTGTGCTAATTATGTCCGTCTTTTTGATTTTGTTTTATTTACGTAAATTCAGTCGAAAATTACAGTAGGGATCTGACATTTTCGAACAATACTTATATTAACAATTTATAGACATGGTATAATATATTAAACATTCTGACGTCTTTTGAGTTAATTGTAGCTATATGTATTTGAATATTTCGAATTTTTAAAATTTTCATTTGGTTTTACGCGGGTAATAGTTTTTTATTTACTCTAAAATGCTCGAAAATTTAATTTAAGTTTGATCATAATATTATATTGTTATAGTATATAACACTAATGCAAATCTGTATTCACGATTTTGTTTTTATATAAACATAAAAATTCTAAACGTTAACAAAATTCGTAAAATCGGGGACTTTTCGTGTAATATTTTGTGATATATAATAATACAACTTTTTCGCTCCAAAAAAATGTCCAAAAAAGTATGTTTAACACATTGTTTATTAGAATTTATGATTTATTTTGTGTTTACACATTAGTATAGTTGTAATATAATTTTCGTCCAAATCTATCATTACACGTTTAACCAAAACTTTGATCATAATCGTTTCCCGTTGCGTACATAAAATAATTCAAACAACTCAATTTATGGTATAGATGTGGTATTTATGGTACCTATTATTTGTATGCTATTTAACTACCTTGGTCAGAATTGAGGAAATACGGTTATCCATAAAACTATGTGCCTACCTACATAGGTATTATAATTTTAAAAAAAATAACGTCTTGGGGCTTGGGCCCCTAAAATTGTTGGTTATTTGCGCCAATGCTACCAATACAATTAAACATTTATAATTTTTTAATTTCATAATAGTTTTGAAAATTTGCATTTGAACTTCTAATCTTGTATAAAATAACAATATATTATATAAATACGGCTCATTTGGAGGATCTATCCACCGTTTTATGAACATTTTCTGGTAGTTTATTCAAACACCTACCCACGCTTAGAAACGTCATAATTTTGTGCTAGGGAATCTATTGATGGAAATAAAAAAAAAAAATTGACCTCTCTAAAGTGCCGCCCGTGTTCAATCTCCTCTATTCACCTATATGAATGTATCTATAAAGGAGGTGCCGGATGAAACTTTTCGATCATTTTTATACGATCCCGAAATAGTGTGTCTAGAGGGAAAAAAAGGCACACGTCATCATTGCAGTAAAGCGAACAGTTTTTTCGTTCTACTCGGAATTTAAAAAAAATCCTATAAAAGAATATAGAATAAAGTCGTTGCTGATGACTGGGTATTTTTTTTTTTTTTAAGTCGATAATAATATATAAACTGATGTATGTGATAACGTAATCGCGTTCGTGAATTAAATGAAAATATTTTATCTATACATGACATACTTATTTGATTCCATTTTTCAATTACCTATAAACATTTAATTGAAGTACGGTAATTTAGATGAGATTATGTATTATGCACGTACAATAAGTTATTAATAATTCTTTGAAAACTCATAGTTTGGCTACAACCCACAGTTTTTATATTTCTGCGAGCGCTCTTGTATTAGCAAGTTGGAATGCGAGTTGTTGGTTGCGTAAAAAGAATATCCCGACTAAGGGTTTTCGATATTTTTGTATGGCCATTAAGAACAACTTATGATCAAATTTTATCAAGTTTCCGAGGATTTTTTTGTAAGCCAATAAAATAATCCAATAATCAGCTTCACACCAGACCTAAAAAATCACATATAAAAACGGGCTATATAAGGGAATATAAGAATTCGGTTATAATTTCTGGTTTCTACAATTATATTTTAACTGTAAAAAAAAAAAAAAAAAAACAAAACAAAATCGTAAATAACAAAACCCGTTTTCACGTACATTTTCACCCAGATTATTAAGAAAATTAAAAGAAAAATCAAAATATGATAATATCCGATGTAATATCAATTAGATAGAATTCGCTATCAGAAAACAACCCCGAAGTTGATGAGTGGAGCAAGGATTTATGGTAAAACAGTTGGTTTATTTTATGCGTAATTTAACATTCGCGCCGCTCTATAGCTAGCGGCCTGGGCACGTGCCCCGGATTTTTCCTAAATCCTATATCC